GTCCTGTTGAGGGACATGGGGCTCACGCTGACGATGCAGGTCTCTCCCCTTAGCCCCGGAAAGGTCAGAGGTCGTGACAAACACAGACATTCCCCGGCCAGGCGTGGAGGCCGGACGGGCGCAGCCCCTGTGGTCTCGGCCGAGTTCCTAGAAGGAGACCACGGCCATTGGAGGGTGCGAGCCCCTGGCTGCCTGCAGGTTCTCGCCGGCCTTCACTAAGGACGGTGTTTCTCGGGGCCAGGACGGGCGGAGGCCTGGCGTCGGACGGGGCGTCGGACGGGTCGGCGCTTCCTGCTCCGCGTGCCGCCTGCCCGTCGTGGAAGTTGCGGGAGGGAGGCTGTTAGAGCAGCTGAGGCCACAGTGCCCCCCGCCCCCTCCCATGAGTGTGGAGAGCAATCAGGAAGAGAAAGAGCCAAAGAGCTGACGAGGCAACGCCAACAGGATTAACCTGAGCTGAATGGGTTTCTGGACCCTTTTTCCTTTTCTCAGGAAAAAGAAACCCTCCCACTGTTTGGACACAGACCCTTTGGATGGCTCCCGGGGCCAGCTCTGGGCCGAGCTCCCTGGCCCAGTGCCTGCTCCCGATCACTTACTGTCACACCCTCGGTGCCCACAGACCCTCCTCCCGCCGTCCCCGAGGGTGGCGGGAATGTGGCTCAGGACGCGATTTCCGGGGCGGCGTGCGATGCTGAGCGTGGGAAAGGCAGACAAGTCCCTCCCGTGGGCCCTGCCCACCCCCCATGCACGCTGCCTTGTCTGTGGAAGCTCTCGGGACGCACGCGGCGCCTGCCTGCACACGGCTCACGGAGCAGCTAGAGCAGCTGAGCCGCGGCCTCCCTTGCAGTCCCTTCCGGGCCCTGAGGCTCGAGGTGCACGGAGCTTCCTCAGGTCGGCAGACCCTGTTGCAGAAAAGCCACGCCAGACACGGTGGGTGCCCCACCTCCCGGACGTGAAGGGGACTCCCTGCTCCTGGGAGAACCTGCTCCAGCTGCGCAGGGGGAGCAGCAGGCCTGTGGGGCGCCGGCCTCGGTGCGGGTGTTACACATAAAGTGCTGACTGCGTTGTGGTGGTTTCTGCTGCTCTCTTTCGGGGTGGGAGGCTGTAACAGCCTTATTGGATACTAGAGGCCCAGTGCACAAATTCGTGCACCAGTGGGGTCCCTCAGTCTGGCTTGTGGGATTGAGCCGAAACCGGCTGACATCACCCAGGGGTCCCGGATTGTGAGAGGGTGCAGGCCAAGCAATCGGGACCGCTGGCTCCTAACTGCATGCCTGCCTGCCTGCCTGATTACCCCTAACCACTCTGCCAGCCGGCCTGCTCATCCCCCAACTGCCCTCCTCTCCTGGCCTGATCACCCCTAACCACCTCTGCCTCGGCCCCGCCACCATGGCTTTGTCTGGAAGGATGTCTGGGAAGGTGTCCCAGTCTAATTAGCATATTATCCTTTTATTAGTATAGATAGAAGCCTGGTGCATGGGTGGGGGCCAGCTGGTCTGCCCTGTAGGGGGTCCCGGATCAGGGTGGGGGTCCCCTTGGGGGGCAGGGCCAGCCTGGGCGAGGGGCTGAGGGCCATTTTCAGGCTGGCCACACCCCAGTTGGGGTGAGGTCCCTGCTGGGGGGCGTGGCTGGCCTGGGTGAGGGGCTAAGGGCTGTTTGGGGGCAGTTTGCAGGCCGGCCAAGTCCCCGGCTTTGTCTGGAAGGACATCCGGAAGGTCTCCTGGTCTAATTAGCATATGACTCTTTTATTAGTACAGATAATTCACATATCACACAGCTCACCTTTCAGTGTGTGCAGTGCAGCGGGTTTTAGCATATTCACAAGGCGTGCAGTCATCACCACAGTTGAGTTGAGGACATTTTTCTCCCCACAAGAAGCCCCATAGTCCCCACCCCATGGGCCCCAGGCAGCACTAACCACTTTCTGTCATAGACTTGGCTGTTCTGGGCGTTTCATAAAATGGAGTCATACGCCATGTGCCTTCTGCACCTGGTCACGGCGTCACGTGCACCCCGTCACTGCAGCGTCGGTATTGGGGCAGCTTTTTGAGAACCTTGTCTTCCTTGTAGAAGGTACACAATGAAATACCAGCTTTTCACTCTACCCAGCATGTGGCAGCAGCTACTCCTGGTCTGTGCGTCTGTCTGAGACTTTTGATAATCCAGCTACATGACCTCCACACACAGTTCGCCGGCTCATGCTCTGAGCTCACCGTGCATTTGAAAGTGCGTCCAGATCCTGCCGGGTGAGCGTGAACTCGGGCCACATGCAGCCAGGGTCACCCGGGCGGAGAGGATGTTCTGGGAGCTTCTTCAACGCCCGGTAAATGTTTGACAAATATCTGAAGCTGTGGACCTGCTCTGGCAGCACCTGTTAAACCCATGCAGACGTGTGAACACTGGAAGCGGAGGCCATTTTTCCTGAGTTTCTCTCCTCAACTTTATTTCTGCGAAGGAACATGAAGAGCTGCTCCCCTCTGGATGGAGAGCGAGAGGAGACCCAGGATTCTGTGTTTGGAACCAATGGGTAGAAATAGCAGCAGATGCGCCGGCCGCCTGCCCGTCCCCATCGCTCCCTGTGGTTTGCTGTCCTCTTGGGGGAAGAATTACTGCTCAGCGCAGCCCGGATGCCCAGCTGTTGGTGGTGGGAGGTTTAGTTGAGGGTCGCCGGCTGCTTAGTTCGCTGAGCGAGCGGGAGCATGTTCCCCAGCTGAGCTCGGTGGTGGTGGCGGTGGTGTCAACAGGTGCGATAGGAGCAGGTGAGCCTGGCTGGGCAGGGCTCGGTGCTGGGAGAGCCCAGCGCTCACCCCTCTCCCTCCTTCCTCCAGGAGTGAGGGACCCAGGAACCAGGCCTCCGGAGGTGGCCTGCCTGCCCCAGCTCCCGGGGGCCCCTGGGCTGGACCAGCCTCCCTGGGCATGTCCTGTCCCAGGCCCCTCGGGCCCAGAGGGGAGCAGTAGGGAGTCCACAGCCAGCTCACCCCGTTCAGGCTGCCCACGCGGATCCGGGGCGATGTGGAGGGCAGTGGGGGGGTGGGGTGGGGGAAGAGACCAGGAGGCTCCGAGGTAGAGCACCCAGTGCTTCTGTTCCCATCAGCGGCCTGTCAGCCGTGAGCCCCGCTGTCCCCAGTTCCTGTCTCGGGGCCTCTCCCGTACAGATGAAGCCCCCCCCAACATGAAAAGACCTCACTTAGGGCGCCGAAAAAGTTGCCATGGGC